CCTGAACCCAGGAGGCGGAGGTTGAGGTGAGCCGAGATCGCGCCATTGCACTCCAGCCTGGGTAACGAGAGCGAAACTCCGTCTCAAAAAAATAAATAAATAAATAAATAAATAAATCTAAGGCTTTAAAATTTTTTTTTATTGGGGCAGCCTGCATTCTATACACTACAGTGAAGGCTCCTTCAATCATTAAAAATATTATTGGATGATGGGAAACAAGAAGCCCACTCACCATTTCAGAAAAGAATATCCTTGGGGACAGCGTGGTGACTCACGTCTGTAATCGCAGCACTTTGGGAGGCTGAGGCAGGCGGATCACGAGGTCAGGAGATCAAGACCATCCTGGCCAACATGGTAAAACCCCATCTCTACTAAAAACACAAAAATAAGCCAGGCGTGGCAGCACGTGCTTATAGTCCCAGCTAGTGGGGAGGCTGAGGCAGGAGAATTGCATGAAACTGGGAGTCAGACGGAGGCTGCAATGAGCCGAGTTCATGCCACTGCACTCCAGCCTGGGCAACAGAGCGAGACTCCAACTGAAAATATATATATATCCTTTAAGCCAGTTGACTAACATTTATAAGACCTGAATTTGTCTTATAAATGTCCTCCTTTCCTTTATCTACACTGATTAAACACTGGGTAGGCTTATCAGCTAAGGAGGGATAGCTAGGTAGAACTGCTTTATGAATAAGATGATATTCATCTTATTCATAAAGGGGAGGTCAGCTCTATTATATGATAGTTTAGCAATTTCAAATTGCAGTTATCTACATAAAGAGGAAAGTTGGGTAGGTCTGCCAGAAGCTACATGACAAACATTATATTGGCCCATGGGAACCAAAGCAAAGAATCTCTATTCTGAATGTGTTTAACTTTGCTTATCATTCCACATCAGGATCTGGAGAATTTCAGTAGTTAAAGACCAACTCTTGCTCTTTTCACAGGTTTGTGAGCATATAACTTTATTGGCTACAAAATGCTTTTAGAATATAAAAACAGTTGTTTTAATCAGCGTGACTGAACTAGTATGAATCTAAAAGATTGTGAATGTTCTGAGTACATGTATATATAAATTTAATGGCGCGGTGGCTCACGCCTGTAATCCCAGCACGTTGGGAGGCCGAGGCAGGTGGATCACGAGGTCAAGAGATCGAGACCATCCTGGTCAACATGGTGAAACTCCGTCTCTACTAAAAATACAAAAAATTAGCTGGGCATGGTGACGCGTGCCTGTAATTGCAGCTACTCAAGGGGCTGAGGTAGGAGAATTGCCTGAACCCAGGAGGCGGAGCTTGCGGTGAGCCGAGATCGCGCCATTGCACTCCAGCCTGGGTAACAAGAGCGAAACTCTGTCTCAAAAAAAAAAAAAAAAAAAAAAAATTAATGTAAAGTTTTTGTATCATCTAGCTGAATGCAAATTTATTTATTTAATTTTTTTTTAGAGACAGGATTTCACCATGTTGGCCAGGCTGGTCTTGAACTCTTGACCTCATGATCTAACCACCTCAGCCTCCCAAAGTGCTGGGATTACAGGCATGAGCCACTGCACCCAGCCAGAATGCAAAATTATTTTAAATAACTGTTGATAGCCTATACAATGAAGATCACTATTGCCCCCTTGTGGGCATGTCAGGGTGAAACTTTGCTAAGAAATTATGTTTTCATTTAATAGCTATTATGGAAGCCCTGCTACAAAATGGACCCTGAAATACAAAATCTTAAAACTCTCACAACAACCTCATAAAGTAGACATTATTATATCCCAGTTTTACAGATAAGTAAACAAGGCATAGAGAAGTATGTAGTTTTCCTAAGGTCAAGTAGCTAGTGAACCAATAATTATTTGAACACAATTCTGATTCTAAAATTCTGTGTATATTACATACATTGCTTCTTCTCTTTTATCACTCTACCTCTCAATAACAATAGCTTAGTCAAGATCTTTCCTTTGATATTATACAAACTTAACTAAGAATACTGTTGTTTTCAAATAAAAGTCAGAAACAGAAAAAAACCAATAATCAATTGGAAAATTTATTTAAATGAGGACACAAGTTATTTCATGGTAAAACAAATATTTGTAAAAGGAGATGCTGAAAATAAATCATTCATTCTTTTTAAGATAGAAGTTTCTGTTGAAAACATACAGGTCTCAAAAGATCAACACCAAGTACTTTTCTCTGCTATTTTCTTTTTATATATGCACTCAAGAACAAATCCAGACTCTTATACTTTATTCAGATAATCACATTTATCTCTTTTATATCAGTACCCCAAAAGCTACTTATGTTTATTCTGCTTTGTTACTGCTTTAAACTATTAATGGTTATTCTCCTTATCTGTACCATATTGAAGCACCTTTATATTTTCATTTTTGGTCTAGGTATAACCCTTCAATATTTTCCTTTTTTTTTTTTTTGAGACAGGGTCTTGCTCTGTCACCCATGCTGGAGTACTGTGGCACAATCATAGCTCACAGTAAGTCTAACTCCTGAGCTCATGAGATACTCCCATGTCAGTCTCCCTAGTAGCTGAGACTACATGTTTGCATCACCATGCCCACCTAATTTACTTATTTATTAATTTATTTTTGAGATGGAGTTTCACTCTTGTTACCCAGGCTGGAGTGCAATGGTGCGATCTCAGCTCACC